CCCCCGGCCCTGCACCCGCAGCTACCCCGGTCCCCCCAGTGGTGGGTGTGGCCCCGGGGGAGGTCCGGGGTGGGGCACAAAACCCCGTTTTGGGGGTTTAGCCCACGGGTTGCGCGCTCTCACTGCGTACCCCCCACTATTTTTTTTTATTTTTATTTTTTTAATGCGGGGGGGGTGTCCGGAGCCGGGGTTGGGGGTGCCCACCCCCGGACCCCCGGATCCCCGGACCCCCGCTGGGGCCCCGGGGCCAGGGCTCGACAACCCCGGACCCGCCATAGATGCGTGTAGGTACAGAGGCCTGCTGAAAAGATGCAAGGTACCTGTAGGGGCATATAAAAATGTTTCTGCTGCTGTTTGGTAGGGGCATACTGGAAATTTGGTAGCGGTACCGGTAGGGGCAAATTGAACATATTTCAGGCCCAAGCGAGGCCAGGGTTTTTTTGGAAACTTCAATCGCTATCAGAGGGGAAAATCAGGGCAAGTCGGCCATCAGAGGGGTAGTGTTCAAGTAGAGGCAACTTTCAGGGGCATTTCGAAAATATTCCCAAAACTTTTTCAGGTCGTGCATAGGCCTGGAAAAGTGTTTTGGGAAACTCGTTCTGATGTCGAAAACTTTCTTTCCGGTGAGCATCTTAAGGTCTCCTCCTTGTACCACTGGAATGTATACGGAAGACAATTTCGGTCAGATACAGAAATGATGAGCCTGCGTCTGGTATCGAAATGAGGAGCGTGACTGACACTGAAGACAACTGTGGTTCCCGTGACATATTGGCTGTATGTTTGCAAGACAAAAAATATAAAGAGGGAAAAAGAATAAAAAACGTCGATTCACGCTTTCCTCCAATGTATGCAGTTGACGAATTGGGGCCGATACAGGGTTTGCGCTGTGCTTGAAAGCTTGTGCTTCATGTGGCTGCATTTCAACAGCTCAGCGGTGTACCAACTGAGCTAGGCCTATTGGTGTCGTGCTCGTGCTTCATGTGAGCTTCCAGAAGGGCAGGGTTTGCGCTGTGTGCTTGAAAGCTGTGCTTCATGTGGCTGTATTTCAACAGCTCAGCGGTGTACCAACTGAGCTAGGCCCATTGGTGTCGTGCTAGTGTTTCATGTGAGCTTCCAGAAAGGCTCTTTATGTAGAGTAATGGATATATACTAGCCATGTTCTCATCAGATACAGGAAGTCTGCTTCCTGTGAATGGTGAGGGCTCGATGGCCCTATGTCTTACAAGATATTGATTAGAAAAAAGAAAAAACGAAAAGCACTCGTCACGTTGTCAAATGTGTCGTCAGACCAGATATACAGTCATCGATGGTTCATGATGCTCTGCCTTCCATTGAATCTCCATAACGGGTCCTTCCTTCTTCAAATGTATACAAGTGATTATTCTGCTCTGATACATTCATGCGGAGGTTTTCCTACTGGGAGTGACAGTTGTGTGCTGGATTTACATGCGGCTGCTCCCATTGAAGATAATATCTCAAGGTCGTCTGCCTATTCTTTTTTTTTTTATATCTCAGTGTGTGGCGCACTTCGTGCGCGCCAGGGGAGTAGCGTCGTGCTGTGCGTGCTGTGCATATGCGCCTGATGCGCACGGTGTGTGCACGTTGTTGCGATTTTTTCGGCCAGGCCACTTTTGGTGACCGAAAATACAACAGGCTGTCACGCTGGATTTTTGATGAATTGATTGTCTTATTCAATTAATGATAAATAATGCAAATCTCTTCTTGTTGTGTGCGTCCAGCTTCGAGCGAAACCCTTCAATTATGGTTTACGCCAGTCCTCGGTCTTAGGAATCTTTGATTCTGATTCGGAAAAGCAAATGCAATTATGCAAATAGTAAGTGAAATAAAATGTATAGCACATCATGATTGTCAAATTTACGAATTTGAGAACTTTGACAGGATCAGCAGAGAGCATAACATCAAGCAATGCCATTGAAAACGAATCAGGACCGACAGACTCGAGAGAAAGATAAGATGAATGAGGGAAGGTGTGAGCTGAAAAATAACCGCAGGAAATACAAATGAAAAGACATGGCCAGTACTCGTCAGGAGCCCTCACTCATCCCTCTCAAGTCTCATCCTCAGTCTCTCTTTTGATCGTGCGTCTGGAGTGTTTTGAACCACGTCTATGTACTTTCTGAGATTGTGGCCTAGTGATATAGAGCCACCTGAAGCCCATGAGTTCCGAGTAAGACCGTCCAAGGCCAAAGATTTGGAAATCAAGCAGAGCACAAAAGTCCTCCCACAAAGTAGGAAGATAGGGAAAAAAATAATAATAAAAAAAAAAAAAAAAAAAAAAAAAATCCCTCGTCGAAGATGGTCAAACCCGGACTCGAAGGGCATTGCCTCTTCTCGTAGTCATTCTCTGGCGGTGAGACATACCTCTTGGTCGTGTCAACCAAATCCAAATCACCCCGCTAAGAGCCATCAATGCACAAATGGTTAACGGGGACCTCCATTTTCAGCTCCTGACTAATGGGTCCAAAACTGAAATTAGGGTTTGGGGGTTGCAGGTCGAAAGGGACTGAAGGCCTAGGGTAGTCAGTGTATAGCTTAGGCCAAATCTATGAATCAGCTTTGTATCCCTCTTGAAGCACACACGCCCTCTGTTGAACGTATCGAG